CCAAATCAACTTCAATTTATCTTTACTATTTTTATTTCAGATAACTGCAAATTCTAACTTAATAATTTTTAAAATTTTGTATCAATAAATATATAACCAAACATCACAAGCAATATGTATTATTCAAAAATAATTTGTTGGTTTATATATTAATTAATTTTGTGTCAATTTCTATTAACAATATCACGTGTCTCATACTCGATTTGTAACAGCTCAAGCACACTGCTAGTAGATATTATTCGCTTTAGCCTGTTACGTATCGCTGTCAATTTCACGATTTTAAAAACACGTCTACTATTGAGAAGGATCTAGCCCTACTCCATGATTGGCTCTGATACCACTTGTAATAGTCCAAGCCCACCGCTAGCAGAATTTATTTGTTTTAACCTGTTATGTATCACAATCAGCCTCATGATTTTAAAACACGAGGGAGAGATTTTCACACTCTTATAGGGAATGTTTCGTTCTCCCCTCCAACCGATATGGGATCTCACAACCCACCCTCCAACCGATGTGGGATCTCATAATCCACTCCTCCAACCGATATGGGATCACACAATCTACTCCTAGGGGGCCAGTGTCCTGACTGACACATTGCATCCACCCTCCAACCAATATGTGATCACACAATCCACCCTTGGGGGCAAGGGGCCAGCATCCTGACACATTGCATCCACCCTCCAACCGATATGGGATCACATAATCCTCACACAATCCACCCCTTGGGAGCCAGAATCCTGACTGGCACACATTGCATCGACCATCCAACTGGGGTGCCAACATCCTGGCACATTCCATCCACCCTCCAATCGATATGAGATCTCACAATCCACCTCTTGGGGGCAACATCCTAGCTGCCACATTGCCCAACGTCTGCTCTGATACCATTTGTGAAAGCCCAAGCCCACCACTACGCTTTGGCCCGACCATATCAACCTCACAATTCTATTAACAATATGACTTATCTCATACTCTACAACGGTCTCGAATTTAAACAATGATAAAATTATTAAGCAATGGATAGTTTTTTTTTTTGCACATATTTCCATAACATCGTAACACAATTATCGAACAAATCATACCACTAAAAACAGCAGCGATAGGCTAAAAGTGATATTTTATTTGCATTTGAAGTTGGAGATTAGGATTTCTCTTCATAAGCGTTGGTCAAAATGAAAGAATGAAAGAATGAATTGAATAGGTTGGTTAGGTTTTGATCTAAAATGAAAAGGGGAAGAAAAACACAGAAGAAATATACAAAAGCTTTATAATTCGTAGAAGCTATGCCTTTTGGGTATCACACACTCCTCAAATTGCAGCAGCCTTGGCGCCGCACATGAGTACCCTTTCCTGAACTTACTGCTTCTGTTCCTCAACTCCACGGCCACCCTAAACACTCCACATACTGGCCTGTGATCCGAAAATCTCAACTCCCCTCGAATGTAACACACCTGCTCCATCCCATTCCCTCGCCACAGTATTCTGTCGCACCTGAAAAACAATACAACAATAACTCAAATTATGCATATGTGATATGAATGCCGCACACCCTCTGATACCAACCATGCCGGCGTCCGCCGCTTCCTCTTCGATTTCACGCTCTCCCCGGCGTACGAATCTGAGTTCTGGGTGTACTTGTATGTCGGTGCAAAATGGATCCGCCCCTCACTGAACCCACTGAAAACTCTTCCCGCTTCTCTTTCGACGTTCAGCTGCGTCGCAAGAGCTTATGCTTAAAGTAGGTAATATCACAACATTGTAACATGGTGGGTAATCGTAACCGTTCTCAGTTACCTGATCCTGTTCTAGGAGTTTGTCCCAATCACTATCCTCTACTAAAATCCTGGTTTCCTCGTAGCTCAATGACAACCGGTAGTTCAAGTCTCCCAGCCAGATTATCCGGCTGTATATAGATTTGATGAGCAGAGGATTGAAAAAAACATAAAAACAGACACAAAATCAGACAAAATGGATTAGATTTTGATGTGAAGTAATTACTCATGATCCATTATTTTCTCAGGGGCTCGTTTATTGGGCTTCTTACAGATCTTGTTGAACTGCGTGCTTTTTAGTATCTCAGCTGCATCGGCGTTTCTTCTCAGTTCATCCCCTTCCTTCTCTCCCGATGCCAAATGACTGCAAACGAAGCAAAAGCTTGTCTCATGCACTGACATGCTAATCGATATGCATCCCTGAAAAGTACATCAAATTCTAAGGGTTCGTCTAAAAAACAGATCAGGAACTTCAAAAAGCAGTAATCTTTTGAGTCAATGATTTGTGTAACCTTGTTTCCGAGGCGACCCATTATGCCTCTTCCAACGGTGGAGACTCTAAGATGACCAATATGAGGGATGAGCTCCTGTCGAGCCCAAACCGACAGGAACAAACCCACCATTTGCTTGCTGGATATGAGCTTGTAGCGCATATCATCATCCCCTGCTTTTGCTGAAGCAAGTTCTGAAATTGAAATGAATCGATCCATCATTAAGCTTCCATGTTCATTATGAAGCTCCGGTGAGATCATGGAGTCAAAATCAGCTGTCGGGTCGTCATTGAGCTTCCTCAACCTTCGTTCTTTTGATCCCAATTCAATTGGGCAGTTGCAGGCCTTCAGCAGCCGACCATCAATCGGCCTCAGGTTCCTGCTCAGCATCTTTAACGATGGCTTTTGGAAGAAAGGCAGAGACTTTGAATCCTTTGAAGCTTTTGAGCCATGAGATGAATTATCAGAGACACCATTAATGGAGTCGTTGTTCTTGGTTTTGTTTATGGTTTGGCTTATTAAACCAAGCCACTTTGCTGCAGGTTCATTGTCTTCTATAACAAGTACGTTTCCGGCATTCAGAGGAACAATTTCCTGAAACCTAAGATTTCCCACATCACCAAAAGTGTGTTAATTTAACAAAACAATGACAGCAATAATGGAAAATCATTGGAATGTTACGAACCCGATTACATAAATGTCTGTCGTGTCTTCCACTTGTAAGAATTCTTCAAGGTTGATGCTATTGTTCGGAGTTTTCCCACCAACATTCCACGTCGCTACAAAAATCCTACACCCCAAACAGAGTTCTAACGATATTTCGATAATTATAAGATCAACTCAACAAAAATTTCCGCGGCACATACCGAAAATTCTTGGTTTCATTTGGTAGAGTCACAGATTGATCAAAGTTTGAAAGATTCAAGCCTTCGATTTCTGAACTTGCCTTTCTTTCTGATCAAATAATCATTGTTCTTAGATAATCGATCAATCTCTCTCAACTAAACTCATACGTGTTGTATCAAAAGCTGAACGCACGATCGATCTTACTCACACACTCACACCGACAAGCAGAGATTAAACAAAGAGGCACAAACAATTGGGTGCGTGAGTGTGTGAGTGCGATCGACCTTGCTTTTAGTTCTGTTACAACAATCGGGTATCAAAGCATCTTTTGTTGTGACATTTCGCTACAACAATTGGGTATCATAGGGCCGGGTACGTACCTGAGAAGCTCTTTTTGATGGTGGGGGATGACTCCAAGAAAGCTTTTCTTCTGATTGCAATTCCTTTCCCTTTACAACGTTTTAAATTATGAGCAGAGAGTTTCAGAGGAACAGAGGAAATTAGAAGAAGAAAAAGGGATACCAATATCAACAGCGTCGTCGCCATAGTCTAATTTAAACAAATCATCGTCTGTGTTTAACTTGTCGGTTTTCTTTGAGCTGAAAATCTTTGGGATAATGGACTAACGTACGACCCATAATATGCATGAAACATATCCAATCAAACATAAGAAAAGGAGAAATGGTCGGAGGAGGAATTAAAGAATAATGGTAAATACCCTTTTTTTCTTATCGCTCTTGACGGAGTTGTCCGGGGAGGGGGCGGAGGATAGGGTGTCGAGCGTGGCGGTGGCAGTGGGGGTGGCGGCGGCGGCGGCGTTATTGGGTTTTCCCATATCGACCCAGGAACTAGTGGCATAGTCCGACATTCATTCGTTGAACCCGAGATTCCAATGCATTCAAATCGCGAACGGAGTCGCGAAAGAAGGCACCAGAATATGATGGCCAAACTGACCGGAAAAACCCGCCGGAAAATATGAACAAATCTGGTCCGATGCAAGAGTTTCGAGGTGGATTCTTTTATCTGGGGTTGTTTTCTTTTCTTGAATTTTATTTTATTTTATTTTAATTTCTGATTTGGGAAAAAAAAAAAGAAAAAAGAGAATAATTTTGGAGGCTGATTGTTTTTGGGGTGTTTGGTTTTGGAGTTCTTGTGGATTGAGATATTGGCGGCGAAGCTTTCGGAGATTACTAGGATTGAAGGGATGAAAACGGTTGGGATTCAGAGTTCATAGCACAACTCCTTTTATCATCCGCTAATTTCATCTCCCAGACATCACACTACACTAGAGCTACAGACAGAAAAAAAATAAAAATAAATAAATAATCCATTTTTTTTTTTAATTTCTTTTAAGGATCAAATTTAGAAAATTACCCTTCAAGAGTATTTTTTAAACAATATATGAGTGGGTACCATCCAAAATTAAGGAAATGATATTTTTAAATTCTTTTAAAAAATTTAAATGTATTATTAAAACGGAATAAGTTACAAAATTTAGAAATATTTTTATTAATTTAATCTAAAATTAAATTATCTTTCCCAATTTACATGCAAATATATCAAAATGCATGCGATATAAAATAATAAAATTATATTATTAGTTTAACGCATCATTTTAAGACAATCTCGCATAAAAAAATCTTATAGAACAAACATAATTATTTGAATATTTTCGACATTCTAACTTATTCCTCCAAAACAAACACGGTTAGTTAAAATGTCGGGATATATATTTTCAAGTATCACACTAGAAGATTCCACTACATTCTTAAAAAGACAAACAAACTATTAAAAAACAAAGAGAAAAAGATCTTCCAGTGGATACTCAGATAAGAATAAGATGTTTAAATCTTTTCATCGAATAATAAATAATAAAAGGGTTCTTAAGAGAATTAATAAAAAAATTAAATATCATAACGGTTGAATTATACTCGTGTTGGTTGATATTAATACTTAGATTATATTACGAACAAACATAAATGAAAAATTAAAATCATCTTCCATACTAAACGATGGAAACTTGTATCTGTGGCTTTTGTGGAATCCATCTCCTTGTCTTTCCAGGAAGTGGGTATGCCCGCTGCGGATAACCTTCAACAATAACACTGAAGAACACATTGATCACTATCCCATAGAAACATATACAAGCAACAAACAATCCGTAATTATTATAAGCTATCTGGGTTTAGAACAACAAGAAGCATGAGCCGGTAAGTCGATCGGTTACCTAGTTCATTTGCAACATCAAAAAAGCAGTAACCTTGTTTTCGATCATACTCTTGAGTAGTAATAATCTAACAAGTCGAAATATTCTTACCTGAATTTCAGGGATTCAGCATGACATTTCGTCCAACTTTTGCCTGTAAAGTGCTAAATTCTGCATAAGATATAGGAAGTGGGCAGATGCTTAATCAATCAAGTGATTGCGTAGAGCAAGATAGACAGAACATGTAGCAGTCCTTTGTTTATTCCTTTTAAGCTTTAATTGTTTGGAGTTGACATCTAAGATCAAGATGGTTAAACACAAACTTTTAGATTAGCAAAGAACTCATTTGGATAATACAGTGTTAGCTTGTGGCAACATTCCAGAGTTTGTGAGCAGAAACGATAGCCAAGTTCAGATAAGCACTTGTTTTGAGATCCCACATCGGTTGGAGAGGGGATAAACGTGTAGAAACCTTTCCCTACTAAACACATTTTAAAAATCTTGAGGGAAATCTCGAAAGGAAAAGTCCAAATAGGACAATATCTGCTAGCGGTGGGTTTGAGCCATTACAAATGGTATCAAAGTCAGACACCGAGCGGTGTACCAGCAAGGACGCTGGGCCTCAAGGGGAGTGAATTGTGAGAACCCACATGGGTTGGAGAGGGGATAAGGGTGTAGAAACCTCTTCCTACCAAACATGTTTTAAAAACCTTGAGGGAAAGCCTAAAAAAAACAATATCTGTTAGCGGTGGGTTTGAGCCATTACACTTGTATTGCATATTAATGGTCAAATTATGTTCTAATCTATGCACTAGTTGCCAAACGTCTATGTAGACCACAGCAGCAACTATTTTGTTCTTTCCTCCATTTTCATCACAATCAATGAGCAACAAAGCAATCAAGGAAAATGACTCTTGAATTTCTACAAGCAAATATCAGGATACCAGTAAATCTAAACATAAGATGATGGAGAGGTAGAATATTCTTGCCCTAGTTAGTGCATATACGCCAGCTTCCGAAGAACCGACAGGACTCCCTCGCTTCATAAATGTTCCCTCCTTGTATATGTAAAGTAATGGTACCCCAGTTGATACTTCCAACCCAATTACCTGTTTCCTAGCAAATATTCATTCATTAATAAGCTATACTAGAAGGTAACAACATGAACACTGAAGAAAGACGTGGGATATGGTCTCTCTACCTGGCGAGAAGTTAATTTTTCTAGATACATGATAATAGACCTTAGCGTATTAGCATGGGCTGCAACCATAACATGTTTCCCAGATTGCAGATGTGGTTCAATCTACAATTCCTTCTTGCCCTGTGAGAATCTTACCGTTTCAAATAATCAAAACAAGAATCCAAGAGTGCTTACATGCTCTTTAAAATATCCAACTGCTCTTTGTGAGCACATCTGCAAGCTCTCACCCTCGGGCGGAGGAATTTCGTAACTCCGGCGCCATTCATGCACTTGCTCTTCACCATATCTTTTGGCAATCTCCTGTTTATTCAGTCCCTGTAGCTCACCATACCTGTATTATAGTTTTGTGCATCAAAATAATTAGTGTAGTCTTCAGATAGAAGGAAAATATAGACTCCCATGAAAAGAGAAAGTACATTCTTTCATTCAATTGCCAAGCTCTAATAACCGGAAATGATTGCTTTCTAGCCTCATCACTGTAAATTTGGCTCCATGCCTCTGCCTGTTTATTACAATTATGGATAATGATGGGCACCTGAAAGCATAAAATGGTCTAAATTAGAAACATCCATTTTTTGCTATGGAATGTTTAAAAAATAACAATCAAACTTCAATCAAAATAACATCCACTTTCCTTCTAAACAACAAAATCTTCTCATCCAATGCTAAGAATTCCTTAATGGGAATGAAAGGAATTTGCAGATGCATCCTCATATTACAAACTTACAACCATCTTGAGCAACTAGTATGCAGTTCTGAATTCATCAAACTCAGGACTAGAAGCTAATCAAAGGCTATCAACTTTTTATGATGCAGGAACAAAAAACACCAGACAAGATATACACCTTTTTGCAGCGATGTTGAATCAAAGCAAGCACCGCTGTCATTTGCGAGCGAATTAGCGCAGACGTGTAAACATAGTCGATCGGTAGGTTGCTGATCCTCTTACCAGCTTCAATTGCTTCCTCTACACCTCTTCTTGTCAAAGGTACATCAACAGAGCCAGTAAATAAATTCTTCTCATTCCACATTGACTCACCATGTCGAATTAATATCAGAGCTGTTTCAACTTTAAAGAGGAAAGTTCATGGACATTACAAAGAAATTCAATCTCCTGGGAACCAATAAAAGATTAGAAGCCATTATTCCTAATAGGTAATCAGACTTACTTGATGGCCTCATAGAATCATCACTATTCAAATCCGAAACAGGTGTAATGTGGTCCATAATTGAAACTTGCGGGGTCGCACAAACAACTGAAAGCCTGAAATCTCTCATGCTACAAATCCCTCTTCTAAAAAGCCGTACATCAGAATCAAAACCCTTCCGGATAACCGGTAGAGAAATCAAAGAGACATTATGAGGATTTGAATCACAGGCATGATTATAAACTGGAACTGCTCCATTGAACTCGAGAAATCCTGAAGAAATCATGCTGATAACCCAGAACATACCAATAATCATATATTAGATGTGAGCATGAGAGAAATATTCTAGTTCGTGAACAGCCAACATATTTCAATTGGGAAATATAGTGTCACTCCACAAGCAGATGAAAAACGTTCGAAATCGATAGAACACAAAGAATACGCACAACATTATAGTAAACACCCAAATGTAGGAAAAGAATCAAGGAGAAGGAAGAGATTGTAGCCATTTTGCATACGAAAGAACGAGTGGCTGATCAAACTCACGCCGGTGATCCGATTTACTCGAAGCAGAGAAGCAAACGAGATGGTAAATTATTGATCCCAAATGCGATGGCCACGATGTTTTGCAGATTTGGACAACGTTGAATGCCAAAATTTTACAAACTAAACTGAGGGAACCGGGAAAACATTGGATTTGCTTAATGGGAAAAAGAACACTGAACATTGGGTGAAACCCTTAAACTAAGCACTAACTCTAAATTAATAAAAATACATAAAACTAAAAAAAGATTAATCAAATACTTTTCAACATTTTTAAAATTTTCAAAAATATCATCATTTAAAAAATAATTTTTTAAAATTTTATAGGACCTCCGTCTTATAAATTCTCTCTAATTTTTTTTTTATTTTTTTAACAAAAATTTAAGGATATTAATATTAATTTTTTTTTAAGGGATACTAATAGTTCTGTCCATATATAATCATCGATTATTAGATTATGAACAATTAAACAACTTATATATTTGAAATATAAATGGTTATCAACTTAAACAGTATCAACACGATTGTCAAATATTGTCATCGATCTGTATCGATTAGAATACTGTTGTGTGATTGAAGTCTATCCACGACAGTATTAGTATCAATAAAAAATTATTTAATATTTGAAAAGATAAGTATTAATATCGAGACATCTTTAAAACTAAAGTAATTGCAACTTTTGGTGGTGTGGGATTAAAATAATAAGTAAGTGAGTAGTGATATCATTAGTGGTTGTGACGCAAACCCATGTGAAAAATCTATGCTCTTATATAAACTTTATAATATAAAGTTTGTAACAAAAAGGAAATCCCATTTTCAGCCAAATCAAGAAATGCCACGTGGAATATCATTGGATTTTTTAAAAATTAACATGACGTGTCTTGTGGGGCCCGAATTAAAATCATAAAAAAAGAAAGAAAAACCAGCAGAGGTAGATTCGTCTGTTTATGTCATTCATGCTTGTCCTGTCTTTTCCAGCTTCCTTTTTTTATTAATTAATTTTAACGACTGCTATTACTTTATTTTTCAAAAATAACTTTCCCTTCGAATTATTCTGTAAGGTGCAACGACGCCGTTTCTGGTAACATGCACTTGAACTCACACGTCCTCTTATCCTACCGTATATGGGAATTAGATGATACGTCATCGTTTTAATTGTCGTTTCAAATCAAAACAACACGTATTGGTCCTGGTTGAAATTACATATTTGCCCAATTTTTTTTATTTCTTTTTTTTTTAAAATAAAAATTCAAATAAATAATTATTACTATTTTATGCGTTGAGTGAGAAGGGTATATTTGGTAGAAGGAGAAAGAATGGCCGAAAAGAGGGCGAATGAAGAGATGTGGATGTGGCATTGCTGTCCCATTGTCTCTCCAGCATTAGTAAGTGGGAAAATGACGTTTTTGTCCTTGCCTTTTTTTTATTTTTCCTTTCAGCTCCCTCGTTATGATGTTTCCCTCTCGTTGCCTAATCCTTCTTCCACTACCCATTATTTCTTTTATTAATATATATATTAAAAAAATATTTCGGAATTTCTTGCTTCTCAAGAATAATAAGGGATATTTATTTATCTTACCATTTATAGCCTTAATATAAATAAATCAAGATTTTATAAATAAATATGTTTAATGACAACTATTAATCAATTAATCAGAAAAATTATGTGTTAAATAATTTAAGAACATTTTTACTTTACAGTTATTGGAGAAAAAGCGTGACGTGGGGTCGTTGATACGTGGTGCATCCAATCAACGGTCCAGATTCTCCCTCTCTCTTTCCTAATAAACTTCCATATATTTGGAGTTCTGTGTTCTGAGAGTCCACCCACCCCCTCACTCTCCATCTCCCTCTCATCGCTTTCGGTTCATTGCTTTAAAGATGCTGCTGGGGAAGCGGTCTCGTGTTCCGATCAAGAGAACCACCAGCATGACCGGAATCAGGGGGGGTCTCGCCGACGAAGAGTTGGGAGAATCGTCGGATCAGGGCGCCCACGCGCCGCCTCCCGCCGTGGGGGTTCCCCATAATACGACAATGCTCAATTACTCTGCCTTGGTTTCTCCTAGAAATTTTGGAGTTCAGTTGGGCTCTAATGATCACTTTCTTCACACGTGCGGCCTCTGCAAACGTACCATCGCTCCCGGTCGTGATATCTATATGTACAGGTACTACTCCATTTCTTTTCCTTTTTTTTTTTTTTTTCTGAATATATTAAAAAAAAATTGTTATATGTTTGGCAGAGGGGACACGGCTTTTTGCAGTTCGGAGTGCAGAGAGAAGCAAATAAAAGACGATGAGAAAAAAGAGTACGGAGGGAAGAAGAAAGATGCGCGGCAAGCGGCGGCGGCGGGGGAAAGAGGGTCGAGGTCTAAGAAGGAACCAGACAGTAGGAGTTGACAGCACCGGCAGCGATCCCGACACCGCGTCCGCCGACGCATGTGTAGTTGGATGCTGTCGGGCTGTTGGATTTGGAAGTTAGTAGATGATGAGGGGTAATATGGTAAATTTGGGCAATTGTATAAACGGAATTATTTAGAAGATCCAAAAAATGGAATTAAAAAATGCTGTGGGTGGAAGTACTGTCTGAGGTAGACTTTTCATTAGGGGTATTATTGTAATTTCATGATTTGAAATGAGTGAAAGAGTCTAATTACTGGACCTTAAAAAATAAAATTATTTTTTTTTATTGGTATCAGTAAATATTCGGCGAATAAATTAAAATTGGGTATAATGAGTGAAAATAATATTGATGGTATCGTTTCAAATAATAATAATAATAATAAAGAATAAATAATGTTGATAATATAAAAATATATAATAAATAGATAGTGCCTGAAAGTAAAAATAAGCCCAAATTGGGCATGGGCCCATGCTATAAAATAGAAGCAGACCCTTTAAAAAATAGTATAAAACAACAATTTGGTGTGGGAAGGCCAGCCCGAGTTCAGTAGAACAGCGTAACGAGTTTACGGGTGTCGCAGTCTCAAAATGAAAGTTTTTTTTGCCTGAAAGCTTCTTGTGTCGAGCTGAAGAATATGTGGGGGCGGATGCCTCCTAAAAGGTTGACAGAAGTGTGTTGCAGTCACGAAGTATGGGGAGTGCCAAACATTGGGCGTTTGGTTTCGAGTCAGTGTAGTAGCGATCGAGAATGTTTGAGTAAGATGTTAAAGGGCTGTTTTCCCTGAGCACTGCAGACTACATTCTTTACCTTTGCTGTCATCTGTTTCGAATCAAAAGATTTTCATCAGTTGTTTGAGATAAAAAGCTTCGCCATCTATGTATGAAGAATCATTCACATATATATAAAGAAACCTTTGCAATTCCCAATCTTTCCCTTGTTGCATAAGGAACTGATCTCGCTTGATATCCTGGCGACGACGGAGGAGATTTTCGACTACCTTCTTCTCTGCAATGCAGCTTCCCATTGGCTCTGTTTCGAGTTGTTATGGTGGATGAAGTCTTCCACTTCCCCTGCAATATGCTTGGAAGGGTGGATTCCTGGTGGAGAAATTACCAAAATCAGAGAAGACTAACAAAGAAGAATTGTGTTTAGATAGCTCGGGCGTGCAACAAGAGGCATAAGCGGTCGAAAGTTGTGCGGTCATTACCAGAAATAGTACCGTAGCACAATGCTTTAGAACCTCCAAGTTCATACGAACATCATCAAGGCTCCTGCACAAAGCACTTTTGTGAACCACGGTGATACAACACACACATAGATGGAGGGATTTAATCTGTTATATACCTGTGCTTTTGCTGCCCCAGCTGAAAGTAGGAAGCTAATGAAGCCATCTAAACATGAAACAGTTCAAAATATGAGCACTATTCGGAATGTTATGATTCTACAGGTTTTTTATTTTGCCAAATGCTGTATGTTATGAACTTGTTATCTTACCTTCATGTTTCCAGCTCTCTTGCCGAACTTCTGAGTTAAGACTCCCAAAGAATCAACCATCCCAACTGGGTTAGGAGCAGGCTTGCCGATCTCCGCAAACGCCTCCCTAATACGAACACAGTCAAATCTTTGAATGTTATGACCTGCCCATATCCTTCCATTCAAGATGCTGAATATCTTGTCTGCAACTTCTTCAAACAACGGCGCAGTTGCAACAATTTCTCTTGTTATCCCGTCATGTCGGCTGGACCTTGCTGCAACAGCTGATAAATCTGTTGGCCTGATGAGGGTGGTAAAGCTCTCAAGCTCCACAAGTTTCAGGGGGCAGACAACAATAGCACCAAATTCCAATACTCGAAACCGCTGCCCAACTCTGTTCGGCACTGTTGTTTCCAAGTCAAAGAAGACGATCTCTGCACCTTCCTTGAATGAACTTGAAGCCTCCATTGGTATTGTAGCAAATAGTTCCAGGCTCAAGTTTGTTTGTTTCCTTAATCCTCAATGGCATGGGAATGGGAAGGTTATAAATGGGTGAAGACACAATGGAGGATTCTTGCTGTTGAGGGTTTGGTTGTCTTGAGGTTAAAGTCAAGAGCTTGGTCATTGGATGAAGAAGTCCTTGGCTTCTGGAGGCTGTCCTTAGCAAAACCAACTCCAATTGACAGGGAAATTGATCATAAAAGAAACGTTAAGAATGACTTTTGTTGTCTCTTTCCAATTGCTTTTTCCCATAGAGAAACGTTTTGGAATATCGATGGAACCTTTGAGGCCAGGTTTTCTTAACGTTTAGGAATGATTCTGCCCCTCTTGTTTTGCCTTTCATATTTTATAGCTCTCAATTCATCAACCAACAGATAAAATATAAGTTCACGTATTAACTACTAAGAATATATGCTATAAATTTTGAAAATTGAATTAATAACAACAAATAATTACTTAAATATGCGGTCCTAAGAACATTAGAAATGCTGACAAGTTCAATCCCTTGAGGCTTGGACAACAAGAACCATCAACCAAATGGGTTGAAGTTCTTCGTTTATTCAATCATAACAGTTAACAAATCAATATACCATTCTAAAAGGCAACTCATAGGGTACAACATACATGACACAGTAGATAAGGAAGCATACGAATGATGACCTGTATAACGTATAAGTTCTACGTAACACCCAAAAAAGAGAAGAATAGATTTGCATACAAGGGATAACCTTAACACCCACACGCTCAAAAATGTGGGGGGGGGGGGGCACAGATGCTGCCTAAGCTATGTAACACCAAAAACTACCTTAGATCCGAGTACAGGAAGAATCAAAATCATCAGGAGCAACACGGGCAATCCAGTTATTGAGCGTTCTCTTAATCTCAGAGTGATTAACATAAGCCAATTCATACATACTGCACAGATTCACGATCACTGTTTCATTGAGAGCCACAGTAGGAACTCTTTCCAGTGCATTTTCCAGTACCTTAATCGAATCTGCTAAATCCCTCAAGTACATCAAGCAAAGAGCCTTGTTGTTAATGGCCACCACGTCCGTATGGTCCCTCTCGATGCACTCCTCGTATTCCCTCACTGCTGATAGATAGTCCTTGCTCACCAAGAACACCAGCGCCTTGTTCCTATTCACAAGGTTCTTGATCTCTACCTCGCTCAATGACACACTACTCTTCCCTTCTTTAACCATGTCCTCAATCTTATTAAAAGAACGCTTTGCACCTTCAATATCACCGACGTGCATTTGTATATACCCAAGTTTCGAAATCAGAGCAGGGTCTGAAAAATCCCGACTAAGCAAATTATCAATCAAACTTAAACAAACCCCAAACTCTTTGTTACTTAAATGATGACCCATAATACAGTTAATCACAAACACTTCCCTTTTCTTCCACAAATCCACTGAGACATCAAGATTTTTCTCCTGTTTATCCTTCACTTTTGACTGTACAAAATCCAGAAGTTCGTAGAACCGGTCCAGCCCTTCTTGACGCTCGCCCATTTTGATAGGGATCAAGGCATGTAGCCACCGAAGTGAAAAGGGGACCATCGAGCCAGTACGATTAGGGTAAACAATTGGATAAGTTTCGTACCTGTACTGAGAGCTATCAAGATCTTCAAGAGAATCGAGTTCCGCCAAGCCTTCAGCGAAACGACGCAATTTGACGAGGGCAAGAACATTGTAAGAGAGATAAGTGAGGTGATCATGGGGCTTTTGAAGCAGGGAAAGAGATCGTGCCCTAGCAACCTTATCTAAAATCGAACGCCATGAGCCGCGAGTGGCGAGATCTTGAAGAGAGGAAAGCTCGTGGGCAAGATCGTCAAGCGAACTGAATTTACTTGTTAAAGGATCTGAGGAAATGGTCAATCCCTCGATTGCTGATGTTAGGGTTTCGGGATCGGAAGTTCTGTGAGTACCAGAATCAGGTGACGGCGACTCACTTTCCATCTCGAGCGACGATGATTCGGAGATTGAGCAGTCACCGGGATCTCATAAACCGGCGCAAACAGATCAGAGATGGATAGCCTCCTCTATTTGGATCCAAACAAATTGATGGATATCAAATCATGTGGGCTTGGACTTCTTATTTATCTTGGACCAAGACCAAATGACCTTCAATTATACACCACGGCCCACTGTGAAGATTTTCATATATGCCCTAATAATTATCAAGTTATTTATTTATTACCATAAAATCTCGTAATTAATGGGTATAATTGACAAATTCATCTCAAATTAAAATGAAACGCATTTCCATATTTACACAAGCCCTTTAAATAGGACAGTCCCCAAATTCCTTTTTTCACCAACTCAAAACCTTAGAACAAAAAGGAAAAATGGCTCCCTTCGCCAAGCTTTTCGCTGCTCTTCTCTTCGTGTCTCTCCTTCACAAAGGTATAAATTTCAATTTCCAAGTTCATTTCGTCCTTTTCTTTATTTAGAATTAGATATATATTTTTTTCTTCTTCAGGAAATTGTCAATGTGTTTCGAATGACATAGCAATCCGTCAAACGATGAGCGGATTTCAGATTCATGGAATGACGGAATGGAACGTGACAATAAGCAACATCTGCTTGTGTTCTCAATCAGAAGTGAAGCTCGACTGCAGAGGATTTCAAACTACAAAAAGTATCGATCCCTCAGTATTAGCCGTTACTGATTCTGAATGTTTGGTCAACAATGGACTCCCAATATTCAAATCCAACTCCATCACCTTCACTTATGCACACGACCCTAAATTTGACTTCAAACTAATCTCTTCCCAAATTAATTGTTCCTAAATCTTTTTGCATTTGAATGCTCTAAAATTTCATGTTACTAAATAAATATATGTCGGTGTGTTTAACCAATGAACATATTGTTATTGTCCTCGAACTTGGGGGTGTTTGGAAGAAATATCACTATGGCAAATCCATTATTAATGCAAACTCTTTATATATTTTATTTCACTCGAGTCAACTTGAGGGTTTTGTCCCATGAACCTTATATCATAAACTCTCTTTAATTAATGAATTTTATAAGGGTAATTTTTGGTTTAAAAAGAAACAGTAAAACTAACCGATTCAAAATTTCATAAATGTGCTTTAAAATGCTAATTATCCATTAATGCTGGTAACTGAGTCTTATCATTTGAATTCTACAAAATTTCATATCTATATCAACTTAAGAACAGGTACACGTTGCATTGATTTATCCATTTTCATAATTATTATGGATTTTATATGATTGCTTCGATTAGAAACATGTTTTTTTTTTAAAGTAATAGATGAATAATTTAAGGATGTTTCTTAGACATTAGAAGCTAAAATAGTGGTGGAAGATGTTGGAGAGGGAGTAATTATAAAGTTAATTGACTTTTTAATATAAAGTTTGATCTAATCTTAAAACGGCATATTCTATTCACTCTAATTTCTTTTTTAAACAATCAATTTATTTATTTATTTATTTATTTAAGGCGGCCCCATTGCTATTTTATTACTTCAAATAGTTTTTTATTTTTAAAAAATTCTCTCAAAATTAATTCATAACTACCGGATCAATTTGGCTGAATTTTATTTTAAAAAAAATCCTATTATATCAATATATTACCAACAACTTAATTAGAATTTCAAAATTAATTTATTTATTTTTAATTATATTTATATTAAATAGGGAAGAGATGGATTTGTGTAAAAAGGGGACGGGGAATATAATTCCGTCTCCAATTCTATTTATCTAATGGAAAACAAATATTATCAGTCGATTTTTGATCTTATTTATTTAACGAAAAAATGTTATACGCTCTCTCCTCATTTTCTCCCTATCTAAATAAAAATATCCGTGAATCGGGAAAAGAAAAGTCGTCCCTACCTAAACATTGATGTCTTCCTTTCCATTTTAATTAGTTGGACTTAGAATAAAGATAAAAAATCAACGTCTACTTTTTGAAAATAGGGTCGTATTCAATTCTTTTATTATTATTATTAATTAAAAATTGATTTATAACTATTTGATAAATTCATATGTCTCTCTCATTTGCATTTTTTCCATTAGCCAGAAACTTCTTAACACCTTCTTTAAAATGTCACAATAATATTATTCTGTGTTACTATTCAAATTGGACTGAGAAACGGTCAAATTCAAACCATCACATCATTACTATTCAAATATGATGTCTTGTATTTGAATATATAAATAAATATCATAAGTAATTAGTCATTAATTGACGAAATAATATTGACGTGACTATGTATTTTTTTTAAAATAATAATTTTACAATACTTTCATTTATTAAATTTCTTGAAATATAAGATAAAATTCACATACAAAATAGCTCTTTTTGAAATATTAAATACATCTAAACTAAGATATTAATAAGCTATGATTAAATAATTATATGGCCTAATTACTTGAATAATGGGTATTCGTAGGTAAGATATATCTGGAAGGAAATGACGAAAATGGGCATGAAATATAGGAGGGGGTTAAAGTGGACCAGGGTTTGATCGGGTCAACTATTGTAGGATATTTATATAGACCTTTGCAAGCTCTTCTGCAAACCATCGATTACTAGAACGGTTCAAAAATGGGTTCGCTGTTACAGAGGAGACAATACCTGCTAATTCTTCTCTGTTTCTTCGTGTTCTTATGGGAATCTCGAACGGCTGAATCAAGAACTCTGTACTACAGATGGGAAGTTAAGTCTGAGTTGAAGTCCCCTGATTGCTTCAAAAAGCTCACGTTGACCATTAATGGCCGATCTCCAGGCCCCACCATCTATGCCCACCAAGGCGACACTGTCATCGTTGAGCTCAAGAACAGCTTTGTTACTGAAAATGTCGCAATCCACTGGCATGGAATCCGACAGGTATTTTGAGTTTCATTTGGTGGGTTTGGTTTGGTTTGGTTTTTTTGTTGTAAAGTGTTTGGATCTTGTGTGATAATTGAAGATTGGAACACCTTGGAGCGATGGAACAGAGGGTGTCACTCAATGTCCTGTTTTGCCTGGTGAAACATTCAAATATCAGTTTGTTGTCGACAGGGTGAGTGTTGGATTCGTTGGTTTTTGTTTTTTTAATGAAGAATTTGGCGCTGAGTTTGTCAAATTTAAAATGTGCAGCCAGGGACGTACTTATACCACGCGCATTACGGCATGCAAAGAGAAGATGGTCTGTATGGATCCATTGTGGTTTGGCTTCCAGAGGGTCAAACAGAGCCGTTCGCCTACGATCATGATCGGAATCTTATCCTCACCGATTGGTATCATAAAAGCAGCCATGAACACTCCGCCGGATTGGCTGCCCCCGGCTCTGCCTTCAACTGGGTCGGCGAGCCTGATGTAAACTCAATTTCCCAAATCCCCTGTTTAATTCGAACTGATTCATTCATTTACTAATGGGTTTTTTTCTAATTTCTCAGTCGCTTTTGATTCAAGGAAGGGGACGGTTCAATTGCTCATTGGGAGCTTCAGCTACCTGCAACTCATCTAGCCCGGACTGTGTTCTTTATCCAATCACCGTCGTTCCGGGAAGAACTTACCGGTTGAGGGTCTCAAGCCTCACTTCCCTTTCAGCTCTAAGTTTCCAAATTGAGGTAATAATCTTAATTTAATTGCTTGAAATTCTTCAAAAATGACTGAAACAGAGTGTATTGAAAACAGGGCCACACCATGACAGTGGTTGAAGCAGATGGGCATTACGTCGAGCCATTTCAAGTTAGCAACTTGTTCATATACTCCGGCGAAACATATTCTGTGTTGATTAAAGCCGATCAAAACCCTTCTAGAAACTACTGGATTACAACCAATGTGGTCAGCCGGAACAGCACCACCCCTCTTGGTTTAGCCATTTTCAATTACTACCCAAATCACCAACGTAAATTCCCTCCGACGACACCTCCGGCTGGACCTGCCTGGAATGCGGTTGCACCCCGGTTAGCTCAAAGCCACGCCATCAAAGCCCGACAGGGCTTCATCCACCCGCCGCCAAAAGCCGCTGACAAAGTGATCGTGCTACTCAACACACAAAACACCGTGAACGGACGCCGGCGGTGGTCGTTAAACAACGTGTCGTTCAATATGCCGCACACGCCTTACCTTATTGCATTAAAGAACAATCTTCTCCACACATTCAGCCAGGCGAAACCACCCACTGGATACGACTTCAAGAATTACAACATTTTTGATCCGCCGCCCAACCCTGAAGCGACGGTGAGCGACGCCATTTACCGATTGGATTTCAATTCAACGGTGGATATCATTCTGCAGAACGCCAACATGATGGCTCTAAACACCAGCGAAACTCATCCTTGGCATTTGCACGGCCACGATTTCTGGGTTTTGGGATACGGCGAAGGAAAATTCGATATGTTTAAGGATCCGAGCAAGTACAATTTGGTGAATCCGATCATGAAGAACACTGTGCCATTGCACCCATTTGGATGGACGGCTTTGAGATTTGTGGCTGACAATCCTGGCGTTTGGGCCTTCCATTGCCATATCGACGCCCATTTCTTCATGGGAATGGGGGTTGTTTTTGAGGAAGGGATCGAAAAGGTTCAGAAATTGCCTACTTCGATCATGGGGTGTGGCGAGAGCAAGAGGTTCATAAGGCCTTAATTTTTTATTTGCCCATATTATTTTTAGTTCTAATTTTTTAAAAATTATTATTTCGATAATTGTAATTGGTATGTGTAATAAAATAAATTAGTGTTGATTATTATTAAATTTAATTAATTGTTCTATATATGAAAATTTCGTTTGTGGTTTTAAATACGTGAAGAACTCAAAATCTTATCCAAATGTAATGGCCGATATTCCGCCGCCACTCATTCAAACACTGCCGCAAGATCACAGTTGCCGCTGCCATTTCACTTCAACCTCAAAGGATCAGACAGAGCACAGTCTGATCATACTAAAATGGCGCTCTCTTCATTAACCTTCACAACCCCAAGAGCTCAAGCTTCCCGAATTTTCAGCCCCAGATTATCTTCCGCCGTTAAACCCACCCCTACTTCTTCTTCTTCTTCTTCTTCCTCAGTTTCTGCTGCTAAGAAGGCAATATCTAATGTGGGCGTTGGGGTTCTTGCTGCTTCGGTTCTGGCTCTGTCGCCTTTGGATGCTAACGCTACCAGGATTGAATACTATGCGACTGTTGGAGAACCCCTTTGCGAGTTCAGATATGTTCCTTCCGGCCTTGGCTATTGCGACCTTGCCGTGGGATCCGGTGAGGAAGTTCCTTATAATGAGCTTATCAATGTCAGTTCCTAACTTCAATTTTGAAGTTTGTTTCTCGCTTACCATCGAATTGAAATGCTCTTGCATTGCTTTGTTGCAATCGCCAATTCCCTCCAATGCCTACTTTTTGCAATTTGCTAATGAAATGTTCTTCAATTGATAATCGTTTCATAAAATCATACAGGATTTTGTGAATTGTTGTTGGCTTATGTACCTTTCAAATGCAGGTTCACTACACTGCAAGGTTTGCTGATGGGATAGTGTTTGACAGCAGCTACAAGCGAGCTAGACCTCTCACCATGCGCATTGGTGTAGGCAAGGTATTTGATTAAATGTTTTGTACAGTTTCTTAAGGTAGGTTCAAAAGTGTGTACAATTTATTCGAAAGTGAGTAACTACAGCCTTTGGGAGCAATGGAGGAAAGGTCTCGGTTATCAAGATGGGAGGGTACTGAAATTTTTTCTCCTCCCATACGCCGATGAGGAGTAAGAATGTGAGATCCCACATTGGTCGGAAAGGAGAACGAAACATTCATTATAAGGGCGTGAAAATCTTTCCCTTGTAGACGCCTTTTAAAACCGTGAAGCTGATGGCGATACGTAACGGGCCAAAACAGACAATATCTGCTAGCGGAGGGCTTGGGCTATAACAAATGGTATCAGAGTTAGGCACCGAGCGGTGTGCCAACGAGGACATTGGGTCCCCAAGGAGGGTGGATTGTGAGATCTCACATCAGTTGGAGAGGAGAACGATACATTCCTTGTAAGGGTGTGAAAACCTATCCCTAGTAGACGTGTTTTAAAACCGTGAGACTGACAGCTATACGTAACGAGTCAAAGCAGACAATATCTGCTAGCGGTGGGCTTAGGCTATTACAAATGGTATCAGAGCTAGGCATCGAGCAGTGTGCCAGTGAAGATGTTGGGACCTCAAGAGGGTGGATTGTGAGATACCATGTCGGTTGGAGAGGAGAACGAAACATTCCTTATAAGGGTGTGGAAACCTCTACCTAGTAGATGCGTTTTAAAACCGTGAGGTTGATGTCGATACGTAATAGACCAAAGTAGACAATATCTGTTAGCGGTGGGCTTGAGTTGTTACAAAGAAACTACTTGTAAAACCGACTCTTATTTTACTTGCAACCAATCTTAAAAATAGACCCAATATGGATGAATAATTCATTAACTAAGTGGCTAACTACATTCATTTCCCTTTGTTGAGTAGTATGTTACGTGGGTTTAGTTGCAAAACACAATGTAATATTAGTTAATTTGTGACTGATTGGAAGATTAATATTGATTAGTTTGTGACCAGGTAATAAGAGGATTGGATCAGGGAATATTAGGGGGTGAAGGAGTACCTCCAATGCTAGTAGGTATGTCTACAGGCATAATGAGTAGGATTTTGTGGCTACTTTTACTTCTTATTGGCTTCTAAGAATCACTGCCCCGCTGATTTTGCCTAGGTGGGAAACGTAAACTTGAGATTCCTCCACATTTAGCATATGGTCCAGAGCCAGCAGGCTGCTTTTCAGGTCGAGTTCTTTAAACCAAACTGCTTTTGTTTTGAGCTTTGGCTATCTAAATCTTCATGAACATGTCTCAAATTGCCTGTGATTCCTTCTTGTAGGAATTATTACTGTAGTTTACTCTTTGGTTAATGCCATTTGTGTTGCCTTTACAGGTGACTGCAATATACCTGGAAATGCAACTCTTGTGTATGATATAAACTTCGTAGGAGTCTACTCCGGAAATAGGAAGTGAAGGAAATGATATCCATTTTCGTACAAATTTCTTGTAGATAGACAACACAGAATAAGTGAGTTTCTAACTTTTCTATTATATTCAATCATATAAACCTTCGCGTTGTTAGTTTCTCTTTGAAGTTATACTCACGACACAGCTATTTGAATACATCCCATTTCGTTTTTCTCCCCTGTCAAAAAGTAGAACCACACTGATATTTGGGATATGCATGTAACAGCCCAAGCCCACCGTTAGTAAATATTATCTGTTTTGGCCCGTTACGTATCACCATCAGTTTCACGGTTCTAAAACGTGTCTACTAGGGAGAGATTTCCACACCCTTATTAAGAATGTTTCGTTCCTCTATCCAACCAATGTGGGATCTCACAATGCATCTCAGATAGGACGTTACCATACTTGCTTCTTCCTATATTCATGTGCTTTTCCCCCCTCAGTTAGCCTGCACTTAAGTTGAAGCTAAACAACAGGAAAATTGTGAGATCCCACATCGGTTGGGGAGGAGGAGAACGAAACACCCTTTATAAGGGTGTGGACACCTGTCCCTAGCAAACACTTTTTAAAAACCTTGAGGGAAACCTCAAAGAGGACAATATATGCTAGCGGTGGGTTTGGACCGTTACAAATGGTATCAGAGCTAGACACCGGGCGATATGCCAGTGAGGAGGCGGTTCCCCGAAGGGGGGTAGACACGGGTGGTGTGCTAGTAGGGATGCTGGGCCCTAAAGGGGGTGGATTTGGTGGGGTCCCACATTGATTGGAGAAAGGAACGAGTGCCAGCGAGGACGCTGGCCCCGAAGGGTGGTGGATTGTGATATCCCACATCGGTTGGGGAGGAGAACGAAACACCCTTTATAAGGATGTGGAAACCGCTCCCTAGCGTTTTAAAAACCTTGAGGGAAAGTCCGCCAAGGAAAAACTAAAGAGGACAATATCTGCTAGCGATGGGCGATGGGCGATGGGCTTGGGCCGTTACACAAATTAAGTGTACTTCTTTCTGGGTTTTCTAAGGATTCTAAGGATGTGGAATCCACGCTCAATCTTAAGGCAGAAAGCTTGGTTTTCTCCAATACCCATCAGGAGGAATGATAGTCCCTTTTAGCTGAAAAACTGAGCCAGGCATGGTTGAAATTGTTCATTCTCAAACAGGATTGAACAAAACATGTATTTGGTGTTCTTATAAGCTAATGACTATATTTCCATGCCTGGATACTATTATACTATGTAAAAGCATGTCTCGTTTCTGAGTGGTTTCCTGTCATTAACTTATTCAGATGGAATCTAACAAGCACATTTTGTTTGAACATATTCCCTTTTAAATATGATTGAATTGTCAATGAACACAAAATTAGTACACCAAATCACCCTTGTTTTTTCCCTCTGCTATATCTCTTTATACTACCTTTGGATCTGAGAAAAAGGTTAACGGGAAAAAAAAGGTTCCTAAAGTCAAAAGCAAAGGAAGCATGGATTCCTTCCTCACGTTAGTGAAGAGAGAGAAGGGAAAGGCAGGCTTCATTTGATCATTTTGTTCTCTGCACTTACCCTTTTACTCTTTTGCTGGGATCAAATTTTGTGTTCAAAATTTTTAGGCTTCTTTTCCAAACCGAAAGTAGATGCAAATACATGCCTTCTACTTCTTCACAATTCAATAACTCAATGGTTTCCTGTAAAAACCCAAATCCCCGCTAGTAGATATTATCCGTTTTGATCCGTTACGTATCGCTATCATTCTCACGGTTTAAAACGCGTCTGCTAGGGAGAGGTTTCCACACCCTTATAAGGAATGCTTCGTACCCCTTTTCAACCGATGTGAGATCTCACAATCCACTCCCCTTGGGGACCCAACATCCCTGCTGGCACACCGCCCAATGTCTAGCTCTGATACCATTTGTAACAGCCCAAACTCACTGCTAGTAGATATTGTCCGCTTTGGCCTGTTACGTATCATCGCCAATCTCACGATTTTAAAACGTGTATGCTAGGGAGACGTTTCCACACCCATATAAAGAGTGCTTCGTTCTTCTCTCCAACCGAAGTAGGATCTTACATTTTCAGTCTTCTAAACAGGTAATAACCAGGTTGGAATCCTTTTTTAGGTGAAAGAAGAGCCGTGGAGAAAACCAAAGTCATCTCACAAACAAGAAATTATAACATCATGCATCCTTCAAACCAACAGATATAAAGTAATCTCTTACATCACTACTAACAACTAACAACCCCAAATGTTCTAATCAGTCATCCCAAGTTGACCCTTTCTCTTCACAAAAGGATTCCACTACAAATTATTTAGCTGATGACAAAAAATAAGCTGAAGAAAGACAGAGAGTGATACAAAACACGAACTTCTTGTACTAGAATTACATGATAGAGCAGGCATTTGGGTTGTCATCGCTGAACATGTTCATGTAAGGGTCTTCGTATTTGGTAACAGAAGCAGTAATGGCAGTCTGCTCCACATTTCTAACGTAGCCTGGTGGTGCTTTCTTGTCATAAGCCTGAGCAATGTAAGGCTGCGCCACTAAACTGTAGGGAACATACGGCCATATCTCTGCCTTCTTCCCTGTGGACTTAGCCTTCTTAAGCACCTTGCTTGCCTCAACATACCCTGTAACTGTCACCTTCTGCTGCTTTCTGTTTATCTCCACAGATTTCACCCCTTCAAACACGCCACATTTTTTGTTAGTAATCTCTCTTGAAATGGACATATACAAAGAGAAAACAATAAAAGTGAGATAAAAAAGGGAATTTCTTGAGAAATACCACTGAGTGAAGAGAGGGCATTCTTGACCTTGAGCTCACAGCCATCACAGTCCATTCTTACCTTCAGCTCCACAGTTTGAAGCTGTTTCTTTTTCTTATGCTTATGGCTACTTCCCACCAAATCTGACAAGTACTCAAGAGTCCCACCAACACCCATTTCACGCTTTAATCGATGAAGTTGAAAACTGAAAGTTTCAGAAGCTCACAGGAGGAAAACCCAGAGAAACTTTCAATGTTTGGACAGGGGGGAAGTGAAAAATGATCTGAAAGTTGAGAATTGAGATGTAGAGAAAATGGGAAGGTGAGTTTGGGTGAAATGATGGATCTTATTAGCTTCCCTTCAAACAAACAAAGTAAAGAGCATTTTGAAAGGCTGTTTAGGCTGTTTTGTATGTTTCTTGCTCTGGTTTTGAGATGGTTTCATGAAACAGGGGTTGCTTATTATATAGGCGTTTGTGTGAGATTGAAAACAGAGGAAAAGGGGTTGTGCTGTAGTTGTGGCCCCCCAATCACCAAAAATAATTTGGCTTGGGAAGCTTGGTTTTTGTTGTTTTAAGATGATGAAGATATGCATACATTTTCTCGATGAAGAGGCACTTTTGTCTCCATCCTTGGGAAGATGATTGCCCTTTTTAAGTAGAAAACTCTTAAGAGCTGTCAATGATGGATTATGTGGTCATTTCTCCTTCAACAATGTTTAAAATCCAACAATATAAATGTTTGCCAGAGAAGGAATTTGAATTAGGGGTATTATGAGTAAACAATCCAAAATTTCGAGTTGGTTGGTGGTCGAGCAACCCGAATAGAGTTCACACCTCAATCAAACTTGAAGGGTTGTTGAGTTATTTTTTTTTATTTAATAAATCATATTTATCTACCATATATGTTAAAACACTTATTATAAGTCTTTGTGCATCATTAACATTGATTACAAACGTCAAATATTCTTTATCTTCATAATCTTAAAAGTTCTATAGCGATGAGTGAGATTGTAACCCTATTTTCAAGTTGGTAGGATTGACTCGAAAAAAAAATCAACCCATGATCTGATCTAAAATTTTCAATTTTTCAAAAATTTTACTCAACCTAAATCAAAAAAATTGTAAGCCAACTCAATTAGTTTGAACGAGTAAGTTTCTCGGATCATATCAATTAATATCTTGAGGTAGGTGATGGAGCCAAAAATTAGTGATTAAATCAATTAATAATTTAATGAAAAAAAAAAACCAAATTAATTGGATGTGAAATGGAGTTGGATGGCTTAAATAACAAGTAACCACAGACAAACCTTATTAGGAAGAAAACCATAATCGTTTAAGAATAAGTAGTCGTCATGTCGTTTTCTGAGCAACACAACACAATTTCAAACAAAAAATATATAAAATTATATTATTATTATTATTATTATTATTATTATTAAGATTGTTGTGTTCAGCTGGAGAGGACCCGAGGGAAAGTGGCCGCCCTCCTTCGTTCATCATGTGCATGACCATCTCTCCACTTCTCTAATTTAGGGGGAAAAATTAAATTAATTACCTAATACTTCAAATAATTTAAAAAATAATTTGACCAATTAAATATTCATCATAGAGTTTAATAACTAAATTTATAATTTTTAAAAATAAAAAATAATAAACAGGTCTCGATAAGTATCATAATACGAGATATATTTTATTAAGAAATTCTTTAAAAAAAAGTAGAAACAAATTAAATAAATATTTTGAAAATTGAAATGACTAAAATAATTATTCATCAAAATAACTTGATAATAAAAGGCAATGGATGAGGGGTGGTTTGGCGTGTATGTAAAAGGATTAAAAAGCTAATCATTTTATTATTAGTAGAACAAAGTAAATGGGTTGGACTCATTTCCACTTTCTATTTTGTCTTCACATTGTTCTCCATAAAACAACAAATTTAATAAAGTCACGAGAATAATCTTTATATTCATACGCGACTCTTTTAGTTATTACGACTATACTAATGAATTATTCGGGAACGAATCAAATTATAAACTTATAAATTCAAGTTAAAAATGGCTCAAAATCAACACATGGTATAAAAAAAATGTTAGGTAAGTTTTGACAACAGAATCAAACATTACCTAAGTTTCATGTAGAATCAAGAAGGCAAACTGAGATTATGCGTGACTACTAGGAGCCAAACTAAGATTATACATGACTCGAGGTTAGATTGGGCCAAAAGGCGCAAAAGCTCCCCTAGAGTTGAGCCAAGTTAAGTCGAGTTCATGTGTATGTCAAGCACGTTTAGGCATGCACCTCATATTCTTATGGCCCCGATGCCCAAGAGATACTTAGTTCGACCTTTTTCTAAGCCAATTCAGAAGAAGGGAAAGGAGACCCTCTCAAGTACAAGAGTGCAAACACCTTATTCTTCCTTAAAGAAAAACAATAGAATTGAACTAATTTATTCCTTTCTAAAAGTTCATATTAATTTCAGAAACTGGATCAAATTCAGGTACACAGAAAAACCAAAAGGAGATTGGAATGAAATAATTTAATGCGATTAATTTAGAGTAATATTTCCTCCAAAAAGTAGGACATCAAATGGGAAAGGACAAGGCCATGCAAAGAAAAAAGAAACTCTGCCATCCCTATAAAGAGTGGGACCTTCAATGTGAAGATAAGAATATTATTTCATGCAATCAATCCATTGGGACTAAAAAGCTTCAATAAATTCAAATAAATGGTTCCAATTTAATGCATAATTTAACCAGAGAGATAGAAAGAAGGAAGAAAAAGGTGGGTTCACACACACTCTGTCGTGTTGTACTTTTATTTTGAGGGGTTTGGTTTGTTTTGGTTTGGTTGCTCAAAGGCTACTTTCTTTCTGATTTATTCTTTTCAATGGAACAACTTTTCCAAATGGAAAACCCAACTCCCTTCGCTACCACCTCTCCAATACACAATTATTGCCTTACATTTAACCCTTCATTCCCATTTTTCATCTCTTTTATTCTTTTCACCCACTTCAAATGTACAACTTTATCCAACTTTGCTGCTACATTATAGCAGTCCCCCCTTTAAATTTTTGGACATATACCACACATTATACTAACCGACACCGACAGAATAATTGTTCGTCGATGTCGTATAGTGGTTTTGTTAGTTCAAAAAATGAGGTGGAGGTGGGGTTGTAGAAGACCTCAATCCTTCAACCAGGATAAGATACTAGAGAACTATATTAAGTTCGGAGAAGATTGTGTTTGACAGGCTGAACTGAAAGATTAAGGTATCCCAACCAAATAGGCTATAAGGACATGAAAGTAAAAATAATATGCTTGGCCCTAAATTACGTAGACAATCGTTGAGAATATTGTCTAGTATTGCACAAGAACATTCTCTGATGAGAAAATTTACATGTCCTTGCCGGGGAGAAGCTATAATGAGACGACCTTCATTTACATGTAACACTTAGACACGCTCAGAATCTATATCACAGCAAGTAGAACCAAGGTAGAGTACCAGAAGAAGCAGGTGCAGCAATCTGACCGTATAAAAGCAGGATGGGATGAAGCAAGGGGTGGCAGCTGATGGTTTAGAAGGAGCCCTTCCAGCTACGGCAGGAGCCACCGCATGCCCCCCTGAAACGCTCTGCTGCTCGTTGGCTGGTAATGAGTTTGGTGGCGTTTCTTTTGAAGGAGCAAGGGGCATTTTCTTTTCGTTACTGAGATCTTGACCTGTGATAAAAGGGGGAGAGTGATAGTGGTAAACCCAAAGAAGACTTATCTCCAAGAGACCAATTCAACTTAAAAGTACTAGGAGCCAGAAATCTTACAGTTTGCACGTGACCAACTCAACTTAAGGTTTTCCCTATCAAATACCATCCTGTATCCAGTCATGTAATTTTCTGCACCAGACGGGGTTTTCAAGATTACCACTTCCATTAGACGGTATACAACTTACTAAGCATATAGCACAAATTATAAGCAGACATTGTGAGCTTACGTCCCAGTATCCCGATATCTCCATCAGTAGGTAGTATAGCAAAACAAAATCCAGCTAACCCCTGTATCCATAGTAATATTTTAGTATCACAACAGGTACTATTTCCTTGTACTACTTGACTCGTGCAATAATGAAATCTTCAAAAATAGAAACATAAGCGATGCATAACATTTGATTTACTTGATAGTTAGAACTAGAAAGTAACTGGTAATCTGTATCAACGAAGAGGGAACACATTATCTTGATGGTTCAAACACATTCCTTTCTTCTTATATTGTTTTAGTTGTTCTTATTCTTCATTTCCTTGGGGGCTCTTTTTTCTTGGATATCAAGAAGGCATCAACTCAACTACTATGATTCAAAATTTGATGTTTAAGGATACTTTAATGCCGCCCACTAAATGTGGAATCTATTCAATTAATGGCTAATTATGATAATTCAAACAAGTCAAAACCTTTATTGGGAACAACAAATCTTAGAAGTAAACTTCGTCTACCTGATCGCCATAGATAGGAAAAACAGGATCATGAACTACAAAGCTATTGTTTAGTGGGAACAACAACGTCACAGACGGAACCTTTGGCATTGCGTCTGCACTGTTGGAAAAAAAAAACTATAATATTAACATTACACATGCACAAAGTAGGGAGATACAAAGGGAAAAGGGTTTTAAAGGTTTTCCATCTCATTGATGTCACCTGATCTTATAGCAATACTTCCAAGGATAACCTTTGAAGGTAACGGTGCTTGTAGTGTTTAACCTTTTATCGAACTGTCAAAAGAAGAAATGGTTAAAGGACAAACGAACTATAAATACAAGACTCATCTCCAGAAAGAATATACCTCCATCACAACATTTTCATATACTTCCTCAGGGAGATACGTAAACGAGGTTCCACTATCAATCAATGCTTTAAAACTTGTCTGCTCAAGACACGAATTCCCGATACAACATGCTTCTACTCCGACGATATAGGCTTCACTGAGGGGTTCGGGTACGAAAAAGACTTCAGCCAACAAATATAGCAAACCATGATCATAAACATGAAAATAATTGAGTATGGTAATTACTATTTCCCGTCTAACAACACAAATGAAGTCATTTGTTGACTGGCTGGTCCCTCGTCCCCAAAAAAGATTCTGCCAGATCCATCCTCGTTAAAACACAGTGAGAAGGAGTTCTGTACTAATCCTTCTTTAGCAAGGGAACTAAGAACAGAAATTTCTCCAAGCCCCAATCCAAAAAGACCATCTGGAGCTACTCCACTTAGATAACCGCCACTTTGTTTCATACCACATCTGTATTAGAGAGCAAGAAGGGCAACATAAATACAGCAAACAATTAGAACTACAAATATATAATTAATGGGCCATACCCTAAAACGACCGGAGCCTGAATCGTACAATTAGATGAATTCTCACAACCGGATGAAAGATGCAATACATCCTGAATCAGTAATCCAGAACTTGAAGTATTTTCAGTTAAGTAGTCAATAACATAAGGACATGACTGCTTCGGACTTTGGCAGCTTTGGCCTGACTCACACAAATTATGGCTGCAAGATAAATGCTTGCTCGTGCTTGAACTGGATGGACGGTATTCATTGAGATCTTTATCCTGCATTATAAATGCCCCAAACATGAGGGAGGAGCAGGAGCACCTGCCAATCATTCATCGGAAATAAGTGCTAAACTTGCTGTCTTATTAAAAAGACTTCACAATCCGCTAACACATTTACGCTAACAATGAGTTAGCCTCTTTAGGTGCCGAATACAGTCTTCCATACCCATCTCCTCTTGAGGATTTTTTTTTTCCCCGTTGGAACCGACCATGCCTTCTTTTGACAAAAAAGCACAACAAATTTTTGAATTCCAGAACACAATTTGGCATGCATGACCCTCGCTCTAACGGAAACGAAAAGGCAATATGCTTGGCGATAAAGCATAGGTCGTGGATTAGAAGTAATTAATGCCTATGTAGAAAGAACAGATTCCGAAAAGCAGGCCTACCAGACTGCCATAGTAACTTGCAGACAAAGGAGCACATTGTATGCAATCACAAGGCACCCAAAGCAGATCACTCCCGGCATCCAATGCAACCAGAAATGAAACACTTGGCGTCCCGATGTCGATCCAGGCGTAATGCAACCTATAAGAGGTAAATAACAAATTGATTTATCAGGTGCATAAATCATACCACAAGACAAATTTTTCAGATCAAGGTGCCACTATGCAAAAGGCTATTAGTGAGGTGGGGATTTCTTTTTTTTTTTTAAGGGGGGGATGGGGATTACTCAAAAGGAAAAAGGTTTGCAGATAAATCATGGTGTAAGAGGAAAAACAGACAGAAAAGGATATTCAAAACAGAAGAACAAAGTATTGCAAGAACAGGGTAGGCAAAAAAGAAAAAAGGAGAAGGTAGATTAGTGGTGACCAGCCAAAGTCATTCCCCAGTGCAATGGTTTTGCTGCCTTCAGACGGGAAAAGCAACTGAAACCGAGAGCCAAGCTTCATCTTCTGCCTCTGGAAGTCACCGCTCACAAGCTCCTGATAATACTCCATGCTCCCTTTCTCAGGCCACGAGACTCGTACACTCGTATTCGTACTCCTTGAAACCCTAAGCGCCTTCATCTCCTCAGAGAACCGGTGAAGTATTCTCGACGTGAACGCAATCGACAGAGCCTGGTGAGCGGAAATCATCATCAACAGGACCAAAACCAGATTCCGAAGCGACATTGCAACCAATCCTCAAAGGATGAACGAAGCAGCTTGAAGTCAAGATCTGGAGCTTCAGAAGAAACTGCCAACAATTCAGACCCTCAATTTCCGCCCGGGACCAAAATGAGAAACAGAAACAGAAAGCTTTCGAGTTACGGAACGCCGAAATTATGGAGGAGAGATCACAGAAACCGACGAGTTCAGCCGGAAGTTAGGAAGAAGAAGAGTTGTGAAGTGTAAAGAAGAAGCAGACAGAGACTGAGATAAATAGAAGAGGGGGAAGGAAAAAGGATGGCGACGAGGATGACGATCGTGGGTGTATTTTCACGCGCGAAAAGGCGCGTGTGTTGTACTAATTCCTTTTCCCTGTGTGCGCGCCCGTAAGATAGGTTGTCGTTTTCTTTTGCGCCGTTGGACACATTTCTTCTTGCTCTTTTATTATTTTATTATTTAAAAATTTTTCTTTTTACATATATACATACATATATATTAAATTAAATGCAAACTGCTATTTTACTTTCGGATATTTGTTCTTTTCAAACTAAATAAATTACTTGGAGTATGAATTAATATATATTTATCTTTAAAAATAAGATATAGATCGAGACAACTTTATGATGATAATATTTTAGATATCTTAATTGGGCAAGAAGACTGTGATAGAATGAACAATATATAACAATATATATGTTCTGATTACACATTAATTTTGTTATCTATCACGGTCTGAAATATTCACTTTAAAAAATATATATTTATATATAGATAGTAAATCAAAATCAAAAATAAAATTGAGGAATCATTAATTAAAGAGAGTTAAAATCATCCCATAAAAATAACAATTAATTATGCTATAGCCAATTTCGACGTAAAAATATTAAATAACGAAATATCATATGAAAGAACTTCTGATGAACTTATCGAGATATCAAGGTGGTGGTCCTATTAGGAATCAGAACTTTCTATAATGGTATGATATTGTCCACTTTGAACATAAGATCGCATGGCTTTGCTTTGGTCTTCTCCAAAAAGTCTCATCTCAATGGAGATAGTATTCATCACTTAAAATCTCATGATCTTTCACTAAATTAACTAATATAAGATTCACTGCCAATAATCCTCAACAGATTCACTCCCAATAATCCTCAACGGGTCTGAGAAGAGCTTATCCGTCGAATGGAAATAATAAATTCTTGAATTACATTAATAAAAGATGAAATTCATATTTCAAACATATCCTCTAAACAGTACAACTGGAACGCACTCATTGTCATCAGCTGCAGCACTTGACTTCAAAATATAAACGACAGATTCTTTACTTAATTCATCATATCAATAAAGGAGCGATTCAATTTTTAAACATATGCTCTAACTAGTAACGCAAATCACATCGAAAAAGCATTATTGTTTCGATGTGAGGAATGAGGATTCCTATAATTCAAAAGAATAATGTTCAGAACACGTTTATTAGAGGTCCTATGTACCCATACACTGAATTCTCACACACTAAAAAGTTACATAATTAAATCATACACTACTTTTCCTCAAAAATTGACAAGCACTTGAAGAGCAAATCTTTTCATCCCAGAAAACTAGTGAAAGGAAATTTCCAGAGATTTCTTTCGACAAATTGCTATTTATATAAACTAAAAGAAAAACATGGAGAGTATACTATACTATATACACTATCATGATAAATACCCAAAATTGAAAATAAATTGAAAATAAATTGAAAAAATCATTCCGGAAGGGAAGGGAAGGGCTGGTCTCCTACATGAGCAATGGTTGCTTACTTGTTAGACCACTGAAATTCTATTTCCAGATTTCGAGGACCACTTTTACTTTCAGGCAACAGTGTGTACTCGCCGGCAACCGCTCCCAACATTACAACTTTGTCGATTTGAATTGTTACTTTTCCAAAAGAACTCTGTTTTATTACACAGAGAAAACTAGTTGTAGAAACTTTCATATGAAAAGAAAAGAAAAGAAAAGAAAAGAAAAGAGAAGAAGAAAGATTGAAGAGATTTACCTTCCCCATTTTGCTCTTGTTCTTGCAAGAAATATGAAGCTTTTGGCCTTTTGGTGGACTCTCAAAGGACCAAGCAAAACTCTCATCCCACTCTGGATTGGGACCAGTTGATACAACCTGAACAAGTTTCAAAGGGAGGTTACAGTTTAGCAATATGAGACAAAATGAGAAAATGATGCAAGAGAGAGAAGAGATGACAATATTGGTTATAATAGAATAAAATTAGGGGATGACACCACGATTATAATGTAGCATCGTCTATATTTTGACACTAAGATAGTGTGGAAGGCTTTTTCCCTAAATCTGTAAGTTAAGAATGTAGAAACTGCGTTGCCCCTGAATTGCATTGATAAGTTTTAAGATACTTTCTTATAAGCACTACAAATATTCTCTTGAAACCGTTCTACTCGCAGTTTTAGAAGTGAGACATTGTGGAGTTTCCTCTGTGAAATGTACAAAAAAAAGTATTCATATATGGTTAGACACGATGGTATAGATGATAAATGTGGAATGAAACCGTAAATGCAAAAAGAGAATGAAACCACATCATTCGAGCATGTCGACAGAATATAGTTTCCAGTAATTAGTTGAGTATAGCAACTATCATTAGCAATATAAATATTTAGCTTGTCTGCAATATTTTTATTAGAAAGGTGCAAAAACTAGGAATGCAAAATATACAGGGATGGAGAACACTACCTTCGTTTGCCTGGGTGAAGTATTGCCAAGGGTTAGTTTGCAAAATAAGCTGGGGTTTCCTACTGACTGCTTCATATTGTTGCCACGTTTGATTATAACTAATAATGTTCCCGGCAAACACTGTAACAAAAACTCAGCCTTCTCCTGGAAACGAGGAGGGCCTGACTGAATTAAATACTGAAGCAAAGGGATGGCATCTGCAGCAGCAACAGACTGAGCTCTTGAAACTTCAGCTGGACAGGCTGACCAGGCTTGTCTCAAAAGAAATAGGGAGTCTAATGCAGCTTCTTGAGTTGCCTCAGTACCAGTCTTTAAGGATGTTACTAGATGAGGAATGCTTAGTGTAGCAGGCTCAGTAGCTCTCAGTCGTGGGAAGTTGCTAAAAAGAGAATTTAGGGCCTTCAGGTACTCCTCATTCACAGTTCCAGTGGCCCACAAGTCCTTTTCAATAGCAGCTGCAAGACCAATTTCGTTAATGACACTATATCTTCCGAGGCAGGCAAAGCATCTAAGTCAAGAAAGCAATTCTATGAAGGCGTTCAGAAAGCTGTTGATTAATTATAGAATGCAATCTGGGAACATAAAAAGGGGAATACAACAATTCAACCATGTAGTAGACATGAGGAGTTGATATAACAAAACAAAGCCAACTCTATCAATGTCAACATGTATGTATGCATGTGAGGGGGTTGAGGAAATTACCAGTGATAGCCCTAACTGTCTCACTGGAGGCGTATTCCTGGATGGTATGATTTGAGAAAAGGAGTTTAACAAACATTGCGGCCTGAACGGATGTTTCTAGATCACTGGACCCAATTAGGTCTAATACCACCTGAACACCACCAGCCTCTGCAACTGCTCTTTTGTTTGATCGACTGCACATAACAAGATTTTGCAGGGCACATATTGCTACCACTTTCATTTCTTCTGTTGGTTGATCTTCAAGTACATTGACCAAAGCACGGCAAGCTGAAACAGCATCCGCGCTTCTAGCAAGACCTTCATTCTGGAACAAATCACCCAGTGCCAAAGTTGCCAGCAACCTTGGTTGTTGAGCTTGAGTTTGAGGATCCAAGAGATACTGGGATAATGGTACAATTGCAGATTTAGTAACCTTGGTTTCTCTGATCTTCACATTATTAAGCAGTACTTCCAGTAGTCGAGCTGCAGTTTCCTCGCATTGATGGCTTCTCAGAAGTTCCAACAGTGCCTCAATTGCACCACTCTCTGCCATTGCTTCTGCACTAGTTGCATCATCACTATCTAGCACAAGTAAAGCATTCAGTGCACCAACCACCGTGCTTTCTGATCCAGAACGAAGCAACCTGACCAACACAGCAACTGGGACTTCCAGATAAAATTCGGAACTGAACTGTAGAATACTGGCTAAAACAGTGGCAGCAGATTCCCACAATGAATGAGGAAGTGAAGGATCAGCTTGCAAAATGACTTTGGACAACTCACTGACACCACCTTCTTTTGCTATTTCATTTGGCCACGTTAGTGCAATACCGACAAGAGCCTTGACAGCTCTCTGCTGCAATATTTGTATACCAGAACCAAGTTCTCGTATTAAAGGACCAATTACTTGCTGCGTAACTGAATCCTTTTGCAGATGTTCTTCCACAAGTAAATGCGATAGGAGCTCAGCTGCCAATTGTTGCACAGCTGGAGCTGGGGAATCAAGTAAAGGAATAAGGGGTTCAATAGCTTGGTGGGAGGTCAATGTATAGTCAGCACGACATTGAGGATGCTCTAAGATATTAACAAGAACCTGCAGTGCACTATGCTGTCCATCAGGTCCAAATTCTGGTCTTGTCAGCAATAGGAAAAGGGGTTCAACCACTTTTGCAGCAGATGGTCCTTTGGCAATGCTTGCATTATTAGTCAGTATACGAAGCAATTCGGCAAAGGCTGAACAAAGAAAATCAGGCGCTTCAAGGAGGATATCTAAAATGCTTTCAATTACTCCAGCTTTTACCATTTCCATTTTACAAGCAGGTCTATCTTTACCTAACTTCACAAGTGCTCTCGACACTGCTTCGTGAAGCATGTAATTTCTACCATAGAGGAGCCCTACAAGAGGAATAACAGCTCCATGTGCAGCAACTAGTTCTGCTAGTTGTTCATCATCAACAAGTTTATCCAAAGCACGGACAACTGATAGCTGAGCAGGACTAAACTCGGTCACAAGAAGTGAAACCAAAGGCTCAACACATCTTGCTGCAGCCATCGTAGATCTGATTCTTGTATTTCCAAAAAGTACACAGCACAACTCAGCAGCATCTCCCTTCAAGTCCGTTGTACAATTTGATGAAAGAATCCTGCAAAGGACATCAACTGCATTCATTTCGACATCTGCAACTGCAAGGGCCCTTGAAGGGTTTTCACTTAATAAACGGACTAAGGCAGCAATGGCAGCATGTTGCTCCCTCTCCATGCCAGTACTGAGAATCTCAACTAAGGGCTGCACAGCTTGTCTGGAAGTTTCAGCATTCCTAATATGATCAGCAGAAAAGAGGCTCTCCAATGCTTTAGCAGCACTATACCTCGCACCCCTTCCACCTAAACGCAGAACAGCTACAAGCTGACTGACAGCACCAAATGCAGATTCATGCCTCCGTATCTC